GTACACGGACAAGTAGGGCCTTTGTGAATTAACTTAGCAGTGGCGGGTTTAGGGGGGTCAGGGGGGTCCTGACCCCACGCCAAGATGGGGGGGAGGGTCGGCTTCGCATCTGCGGACCCCCCTTCAAATAACCCTAGATCCGCCCCTGACTTAGGGTGTGGTAACCTTTTTGAAGGTTGGAAATGAGGTTTTCTATTGACTCCTCGCCCTCCACCACCACCATATATTATATACCAGGTATCAAGTACAGAGTATTATTTGACTGGTACTAGATATTGAAGTTTACTTCTGCATGCATTTTCCAGCTAATTCTGTACACATGTGAGTTATGTTAAGAATAGCAGATAAACTATCAAAATCCTTCATTGTAAAACTAGATAAGTGTTAAGGGGACGTGTAGCATACGATGTAGTGTCCACCCTCCGTTAGATTCACACAGGAGGGGGCTAGCGTGACATACGAGTAAGTGCAGGCCTACCCAACTACCAGACTCGGCACATAAAGATCCTGAATTAACCGGTATATCAGACCACACTACCCGTTTTCAAGGTGTGTGTCAGATCGCATTTCGGAGTATCATACCCCAGAACAAATTTTGTAGGACGACTGTGGGCTCAGCCACGCTCGGCTGAACAACCTTAAACTGTACTCTTACTTTAATTAAGTACTCTATTTTATTGTCTCTATGGGGGTCTATGGGGACTTTACGACATTAGGTTTGAATGTTTTAACCACTTTTGATAGGGCTTTTTTGCATTGTATTAGATTAATGTGGCAGTCTAAGGTTCATCTAGGTGGCTTTCAAATTTATGCACCCGGTTTTAAAATCATATAGCGATTTTACGACAATCGTTTACTATCCAATCAAGGTGACAGCCGAGCGTGGGCTCATCCTGTCGGTGTTCTGACTGATACTCCGAAATGCGATCTGACACACACCTTGAAAACGGGTAGTGTGGTCCGATATTCCGGTTAATTCAGGATCCTTATGTGCCGAGTCTGGTAGTTGGGTAGGCCTGAAGTGGGTCAAAATAGGTTGGGGCTTACCCGAACATGGAAAAATCAAGGGAAAAAATTAAGAAAGAACATTAAAACAAACAAATCAAAGGAAAAGGGACATCGTAAGGGACTCTTTCCTCCAATACCTACCTAGAGATAGTTTGTTACAGCGGCAATTTACGTTTTATTTGGTTTTAGGGGTGTTTTTTCGTGAGATGTGAGTACTTTCTCTCGGTATGTATGTCAAACAACACACTCGTGACGCTCGTTGTCTTCTGGCATATATCGCTCGGGTTTCAGTGTATCATCTCTTACTTCTTTTACTGATTTTACCATGGCACACACACACACACACACACACACACACACACACACACAGATAGATAAAAAGAATGCGTTATATGTTGCTGTGGCTTTCTGTGCACTTTCAAGCGCAACAGTAACAATACGAAAATCCTATTACTGTGTTATTCCTGGTCTCTCCCATCTCGACATGTTTTGGGATTTAAAATAAACATAAGACACCCATTGGCTACATTGATTCCGCTTTATGCACTTAAAACTAAAAAAATACTTTTACTGAGCGATTTGTTATGTTAACTGAAGCAAATGAAAATGGGTACTGTTTGTAGTGTGACATCCCATGCTTCTTCTAGCGCTAAAACGAGCCTCGGGTATATATATATATATATATATATATATATATACAGACTTGACATTTAATATGGAATATTTCAGTTTCGAAGGTATACCTAGGTAAAAATAGGTTCTTTTTTAAAAAACTCCGATCTCATATAAGATGTGTGAATGTAAACGTGTGTAGTCAGGTGTTTCACTACCAATTAACTGACGTTCATGCCCGTTGCGCTGCTACATTGTGTAATTTGCAGTGATTTAATTGGGTAGTGTTCCTTTGGGCTGATCAAAGCTTGGCTTAGGCAAAGCTTGGTTCTGTCAAAAAAGTATCCATATTTCGGCAACTACTGCATAGAAGAATTTGAAATTCTGCATGCAAGCGGTCAGTTTTGCAGTGCGTAAGATGAGTCAAGGAGTGCAGTACAAATTTGTTAATCTAAGGCAGAATGGCGCGAAAAAGACAGACATAACCAGACAGATCATAGCACCAAACGGAACGGTCCCCACCGTTTTATAGAGTAATGCCAAGACTGATGTACCTACACAGAGGTCACCCCCAATGTATCAAAATTTTACCTACAGGGTACAGGACCCAATGTCTTTCGGGATACGCTGCTGCAACTAAACAAAAAACACTTTGTCCGTTCAGAACGAGGGGTAAATTGCCACTAAAATGCGGCTTTCAAAGCCCTTAGCGAACACCAAACTGGTTTTAGCAGGTAAGAACACCAAATGACCTCCGAGGTACCCACTGTATACAGCAAAACATCGTCGTCTGTTTCTCTAATGAATTGGGGGCCATGAACGATTCTGGGTAGAACACTGAAACTGCGTGGCTTTCTTTATTGAGGTCAGATTTCACCTGTACCGCTCAATTAGTCAAAACAGAGTTTACAGATATCCAGAAGAGGCCTACTACGAAGCATATGCCGGGTCTAAAGTGACAAGGGTGATTGACAGCGTCAATATTTGGAGTAGATTCCACATTGGTGCCAAAACACCAATGGTAGTCATCGACGAAAACCTGAACCAGATCAAATAAAGGAATAATCTCGGAACCACTTGACTATCATTTGATAGGGGGCACCTTAGGAACAATTCTAGGTTGCACGATGAGGTTGCAGGTTCACACAGCGCACTTTTAATAGCAGATAACTTACAGAACCAAGGGAATGAGCAGCTACCCTGGTCATCAAAATCGCCACATTTGAACCACACCAATCAACTGCCTACATGTCCTACAACAAAACTGGACCAGATTGGACAATTTTAGACCGATGCCTGAAATGCTATTCCAGATTGAACTCTAAAAACCTACCCCCAAGAGATGCCTTGCCGCTTGAGAGCGCTGGCAACAGCCACGAAGAGGCCAGGCGTAACAACGACCATTACTGTGACTAGCAACTGACATGAGGGTCTTTTGTGGAGCGTATTACCCTTTTACAGACGATAATTTGGAAAATATGGAGATCCAAAATATATCTTTTAATGGGAGTGGTATGACATAGAATAGGCAATGTGTTTTTGTTTGCTTCTCTGGCAAATTCCATTAATGAACTGATGTCACAATGGCATCAAAGAGATTATTTAAAGTTATTAAAACACGATTTTAATCCTTATTTTCATTTATCAGTCAGCAAAATAGGAAAAAACTGATAAAAATTTATTTCGAAAAAAATATTCCATATTAAATGTCAAGTCTGTATATATATATANACTCTCGGAACCACTTGACTATCATTTGATAGGGGGCACCTTAGGAACAAGTGTAAGTTGCACGATGAGGTTGATGGTTCACACAGAGCACTTTTAATAGCAGATAACTTACAGAACCAAGGGAATGAGCAGCTACCCTGGTCATCAAAATCGCCACATTTGAACCACATAGACAATATTTCGGTAGACCATTATTCACCAATCAACTGCCTACATGTCCTACAACAAAACTGGACCAGATTGGACAATTTTAGACCGATGCCTGGAATGCTATTCCAGATTGAACTCTAAAAACCTACCCCCAAGAGATGCCTTGCCGCTTGAGAGCGCTGGCAACAGCCACGAAGAGGCCAGGCGTAACAACGAGCATTACTGTGACTAGCAACTGACATGAGGGTCTTTTGTGGAGCGTATTGCCATTTAACAGACGATAATTTGGAAAATATGGAGATCCAAAATATCTCTTTTAATGGGAGTCGTATGACATAGAATAGGCAATGTGTTTTTGTTTGCTTCTCTGGCGAATTCCATTAATGAACTGATGTCACAATGGCATCAAAGAGATAATTTAAAGTTATTAAAACACGATATTAATCCTTATTTTCATTTATCAGTCAGCAAAATAGGAAAAAACTGATAAAAAAGTATTTCGAAAAAAATATTCCATATTAAATGTCAAGTCTGTAGGTAAAGTCATTAAAAAGGCTGCGACGAAGAAGATCGACGAGCGTCGTTTAGTCGAACTTCTATTCACGACGTAAAAAAAACCTCGTATTCCTCTGAGAAATCAGACGCTGACTACTTGAGGTAAGATGAAAGTGAAAACGAACCCTGGAGTCATATCATCATAATAACGATGTAACTGAAATTCAAATTGACAGAAATCTAGGTTTACACTTCTATGGATATTAAAGTGCAGGCCCGTAGCCAGCAATTTCAAAAGGGTTTTTTTTTTCTGAAAAAAAGTGGACCTTTTCTCATAAAAACTTCATGTACCTAGATCAAATTTTACCAAGAGTGGACCTTTTCCCAGCAAAAGGGGCGGTTCGTTCGAACCCCCCCTGGCTACGGGCCTGAAGTGTTCATTTTCATCTTAAGATACACTTTTTTCTTTTAAATAATTTATTTCATTTTATTTATTATATATATATATATTTTTTTTTTTTGGGGGGGGGGTCGTAGTTAAGACTCTTTCCCTTTTAGAAGACGAGTTCCATGATGGGAAACTTTGCAAGGTGAAAAATATTGGTGTTTTTACTATCATTTCATTACGTTAAAGTTAATTATTATTTTGAAATAATTACCAAAGAAATATTAATTCACAACGCAACAATAGCAAAAAAAAAGTCTTTCAAATGACCATTATCCAAAACAAAAGACAGACCAAAAGTGGCTTTCATATTTCATAAAACCTTTTTTTCATTAACACAGGTATGTTATACTGATACCTATGTAATAATCTCTTGTTCATTTTGCATAGTTTTCTAAAATTTCATTCTAAGCCAATCACTCAGCATCGATTTCATCGGTACTTACTTGGCTCTAGAAGTATGCCAATTCCTCACAATTCTACTACAGAAGAATATGCGCTTGCAGCAACAAAACCTGCTGCAAATTAAGTGCCTCGACTATAATGGCATTTAACAACCTATAATAGTGGCATAAAAATATATCAAAAACAAGCAATCACCTGTTTGTCCAACTTAGAATTTAATGAAATAAAATACTTAAAAATTTTTCTCACAACAAAACAATTATTAAATTCATCATATAAATCTCAATGTTTATCAAATTTCTGATTTCCTTCCAGGATAACTACACAATACAGACAATTATGTATGAGTAATCTATTTTCCTGGAATGGGCTTTACTCCTACTTTTACATAAAGCCAATTCAATATTGCAATATTATCCCTGATTAAGAAAAAACTCAAAAGAATACAAGGAAAACAAACAAAAACTCACACATGGATGCCTACTAGTATCAGTACTCTCAGCTGCAACCTAAATGACTTATGTGTATGAGCATTTCCAAGTAATGTTAAAAAGAATGATGGCCTCCAGGGCGACCCACTTATTTTTACATTGGCTGTTTAAAATGAAGAAGTACTACTAGCAATATCCACAAAGCACAGTCTAAATTGTGCAAAATTGTCAAAAATTAATGCTGCAAGAATATCAAACTTAGATAAAATTTTTTCAGATAAATTTTCTGATTAATAAAAAACAGTGCTTAAATGCAGTATGATCATAATTATCAAATCTTTATGGTTGATGTACTAAACTTAAACAAAGAATATTTAATCTCCAGTTCTGGAAGACATAATCTGGTTCAAAATTTGACAAAATATGACTAGAGTTCTTATTAAATTGTTAATAATTATATTATTATGTTAATTATTACAATTTGCATAGAAATATACCAGTAGTTTTTAATCTCATTACATATTTTAGGCTTTGAGCATTTACTTTAAATCAATTATTAATAATCAATCTAAAGATTTCATAGCTTCAATCACATTTTTGTAGACAAAGTCATAAGCATCCATTCCCCAAATGAAATCCAAATGGTCAAATGAAGGGATAAGCTGACTGCCTTTGAGATTAGGTAGGAGTGCCATCAATGATTTGACATCCTAAAAACAAAAACATCCCATTTTAAAAATCACTGCCATCAACTCTGTTTTTGCTGAGACAACACAAAATGTTTTGATAAAAACTATTCTTTTTAACCTTCTCTCTTCTTTCTTGACACACAAACAGGAGAAAAGGAAACAGTTATAAAAACAATTTAAAACTTGTCATTCATTAACATGTTGCATCAGACCAAAGCTTTACTGACCTGCGGATCTGCCAGCAGATCCTTTCCTCCATAATACAAGTATGTGGGAGCTTGAACTTTCCTTGCATCATAATATGGAGGAGTGGACTGTGGAAAAAGAAGTATTAGTTTTCTGACATTCTTATCCATAAACTCCTATTTTCTTAATCCTTTGCAAATCAAAATGTGAGTCATTATTTTTCTCAAGTTTTTGTCAAGATGCAAAATATTATATCATGTTTGCATGTAATTACTGACTTAAAAAACAAACATGATGACAAATCCCAGGGGAGAATAAATAAATTTCAAAGAAAAACAGCCTTATTTATAACGTTTTTAAATATACCTGTCCATTATAATGCTCCCTATTTGCTTTCGGTGATCCATAGTCAAACATCCGAAATTCACCGTGTATTACCATCTGTTCAAAATTAATAAGTTTCATTAGAAGTGCAATACTTTACAAGTCATTATATGAAAAGCTATGTTTTAAATGTCATCTGGTATTATGCCTCTTGCAAAACTAGTAATCATTTATCAATATGAGGTCAACCCCAGTTGCAATAACTTTAATAATTACCTATAAAATGTTACTTACACAAAAACCAAAGGTGCTGGTATGGTAATATTGAAGTTATGAAACACAAGTAGAGCAACTATTAAACCCCACCATAAAAACGTTTTCTCTTTATATGTGCAAGTGTAACTGTAGACATTATTCATAATCTGATACAAACCTGCTGAAAATGAATCATGTTTTGTGCAGAGGTCCCTGCTGGAGTATGTGCTATATACACTGGAAGACGAGTCTAAATATAAAGCAAAATAACACTACAATCAGGAAAACTGATGGATAAGTCTTAAATTTACAAAGATTTTATCTGTAAATTCAAAATATACTAGCACCAAAAGAGATAAATATTAAATATCATCATGCACTAATTTAAATTAGAGCAAACGGATTGTGAACAGGATGTAACTTATACTGGTTGACACCAAAATTGCACAACTTGCCATATTTAACTGTGCTTTGTCATAGCCGGCTATCACAAAGATGATGTCACTGCAGATAAACCTAGTTGCCTCATCACACATAGTCTTTGCCAAGAAATCTATCAACTCATTATTTGGCAAAAAGTCCTTTTTTCCAAACATATCATAGAGAATCTAGAAAGAAAACTGTTAATATTATTTTGAATCTTTAATATTGATTTGGTTGATTTCTTTCTTTTTTTAATGACTGATTGANTAGGTAAAGTCATTAAAAAGGCTGCGACGAAGAAGATCGACGAGCGTCGTTTAGTCGAACTTCTATTCACGACGTAAAAAAAACCTCGTATTCCTCTGAGAAATCAGACGCTGACTACTTGAGGTAAGATGAAAGTGAAAACGAACCCTGGAGTCATATCATCATAATAACGATGTAACTGAAATTCAAATTGACAGAAATCTAGGTTTACACTTCTATGGATATTAAAGTGCAGGCCCGTAGCCAGCAATTTCAAAAGGGGTTTTTTTTCTGAAAAAAAGTGGACCTTTTCTCATAAAAACTTCATGTACCTAGATCAAATTTTACCAAGAGTGGACCTTTTCCCAGCAAAAGGGGCGGTTCGTTCGAACCCCCCCTGGCTACGGGCCTGAAGTGTTCATTTTCATTTTAAGATACACTTTTTTCTTTTAAATAATTTATTTCATTTTATTTATTATATATATATTTTTTTTGGGGGGGGGGGTCGTAGTTAAGACTCTTTCCCTTTTAGAAGACGAGTTCCATGATGGGAAACTTTGCAAGGTGAAAAATATTGGTGTTTTTACTATCATTTCATTACGTTAAAGTTAATTATTATTTTGAAATAATTACCAAAGAAATATTAATTCACAACGCAACAATAGCAAAAAAAAAAGTCTTTCAAATGACCATTATCCAAAACAAAAGACAGACCAAAAGTGGCTTTCATATTTCATAAAACCCTTTTTTCATTAACACAGGTATGTTATACTGATACCTATGTAATAATCTCTTGTTCATTTTGCATAGTTTTCTAAAATTTCATTCTAAGCCAATCACTCAGCATCGATTTCATCGGTACTTACTTGGCTCTAGAAGTATGCCAATTCCTTACAGGTTTTTTTTACGTCGTGAATAGAAGTTCGACTTCCTACTACAGAAGAATATGCGCTTGCAGCAACAAAACCTGCTGCAAATTAAGTGCCTTGACTATAATGGCATTTAACAACCTATAATAGTGGCATAAAAATATATCAAAAACAAGCAATCACCTGTTTGTCCAACTTAGAATTTAATGAAATAAAATACTTAAAAATTTTTCTCACAACAAAACAATTATTAAATTCATCATATAAATCTCAATGTTTATCAAATTTCTGATTTCCTTCCAGGAGAACTACACAATACAGACAATTATGTATGAGTAATCTATTTTCCTGGAATGGGCTTTACTCCTACTTTTACATAAAGCCAATTCAATATTGCAATATTATCCCTGATTAAGAAAAAACTCAAAAGAATACAAGGAAAACAAACAAAAACTCACACATGGATGCCTACTAGTATCAGTACTCTCAGCTGCAACCTAAATGACTTATGTGTATGAGCATTTCCAAGTAATGTTAAAAAGAATGATGGCCTCCAGGGCGACCCACTTATTTTTACGTTGTCTGTTTAAAATGAAGAAGTACTACTAGCAATATCCACAAAGCACAGTCTAAATTGTGCAAAATTGTCAAAAATTAATGCTGCAAGAATATCAAACTTAGATAAAATTTTTTCAGATAAATTTTCTGATTAATAAAAAACAGTGCTTAAATGCAGTATGATCATAATTATCAAATCTTTATGGTTGATGTACTAAACTTAAACAAAGAATATTTAATCTCCAGTTCTGGAAGACATAATCTGGTTCAAAATTTGACAAAATATGACTAGAGCTCTTATTAAATTGTTAATAATTATATTATTATGTTAATTATTACAATTTGCATAGAAATATACCAGTAGTTTTTAATCTCATTACATATTTTAGGCTTTGAGCATTTACTTTAAATCAATTATTAATAATCAATCTAAAGATTTCATAGCTTCAATCACATTTTTGTAGACAAAGTCATAAGCATCCATTCCCCAAATGAAATCCAAATGGTCAAATGAAGGGATAAGCTGACTGCCTTTGAGATTAGGTAGGAGTGCCATCAATGATTTGACATCCTAAAAACAAAAACATCCCATTTTAAAAATCACTGCCATCAACTCTGTTTTTGCTGAGACAACACAAAATGTTTTGATAAAAACTATTCTTTTTAACTTTCTCTCTTCTTTCTTGACACACAAACAGGAGAAAAGGAAACAGTTATAAAAACAATTTAAAACTTGTCATTCATTAACATGTTGCATCAGACCAAAGCTTTACTGACCTGCGGATCTGCCAGCAGATCCTTTCCTCCATAATACAAGTATGTGGGAGCTTGAACTTTCCTTGCATCATAATATGGAGGAGTGGACTGTGGAAAAAGAAGTATTAGTTTTCTGACATTCTTATCCATAAACTCCTATTTTATTAATCCTTTGCAAATCAAAATGTGAGTCATTATTTTTCTCAAGTTTTTGTCAAGATGCAAAATATTATATCATGTTTGCATGTATTTACTGACTTAAAAAACAAACATGACGACAAATCCCAGGGGAGACTAAATAAATTTCAAAGTAAAACAGCCTTATTTATAACGTTTTTAAATATACCTGTCCATTATAATGCTCCCTATTTGCTTTCGGTGATCCATAGTCAAACATCCGAAATTCCCCATGTATTACCATCTGTTCAAAATTAATAAGTTTCATTAGAAGTGCAATACTTTACAAGTCATTATATGAAAAGCTATATCTTAAATGTCATCTGTTATTATGCCTCTTGCAAAACTAGTAATTATTTATTAATATGAGGTCACCCCTAGTTGCAATAACTTTGATAATTACCTATAAAATGTTACTAACACAAAAACCAAAGGTGCTGGCATGGTAATATTGAAGTTATGAAACACAAGTAGAGCAACTATTAAACCCCACCATAAAAATGTTTTCTCGTTAAATGTGCAAGTGTAACAGTAGACATTATTCATGATCTGATACAAACCTGCTGAAAATGAATCATGTTTTGTGCAGAGGTCCCTGCTGGAGTATGTGCTATATACACTGGAAGACGAGTCTAAATATAAAGAAAAATAACACTACAATAAAGAAAACTGATGGATTAGTCTTAAATTTACAAAGATTTTATCTCTAAATTCAAAATATACTAGCACCAAAAGAGATAAATATTTTAAAATATCATCATGCACTTATTTTAATTAGAGCAAACAGATTGTGAACAGGATGCAACTTATACTGGTTGACACAAAAGTTGCACAACTTGCCATATTTAACTGTGCTTTGTCATAGCCGGCTATCACAAAGATGATGTCACTGCAGATAAACCTAGTTGCCTCATCACACACAGTCTTTGCCAAGAAATCTATCAACTCATTATTTGGCAAAAAGTCCTTTTTTCCAAACATATCATAGAGAATCTAAAAAGAAAACTGTTAATATTATTTTGAATATTTAATATTGATTTGGTTGATTTCTTTTCATTTTTTAATGACTGATGGACTTAAATAAAGATATGCAGCATAAAACAATTTGTCTGACATTATGAAATATGAGCATTATATAGCAATTTCAGTCTTGTGATCTAATCACCAACTTCACAATTAGCAAAAGGAAACACATTTAAATAGCAAGTTTTATATAGCTATATTTTATGTTAAAATAAGTGGCTCCAAGCCCCATTAATGTTATTACTTTAACTTACTGCTGTTGGTATATCTGATAAGATCTTGAGAGGTATACTTTTCATATGGCCAACAGTAGCCACTGGACCAAGTGCATAGAATCCTTTCAACTAAGGATTAAGGAAAAACATTGAGGTAAACAAGTGGCACATAGAATATGCATTACTATTTAACACAATGAAATTGTATCTGAATAAAATAAGAAATTTCCAAAACTAATGATCAATGAAGTAAATCACCTTTTATTTGTCTTAAGTAAAAATCATACAAATGTCAGCAACATTTTCTGGTGGTCCACATCTTTAAAAAAAAGCATCAATTATGTAATAAAAATGAGTATAACTGACTTCATGTGTAACAAGAATTATAAATTCAAATTGAAACGGAATTAAAAATCACTGTTGTCAATTCAAGACTCAAACAATCTGCGGCAGCTGACCTTTTTGGCAAACTCTGGGTTAGTGGACATGTGGGCAAAAGCCATCAACGTTCCCTGTGAGTGACCAATGTAGTGCAGCTGACTCTGGCCAGTTTTGTTCAGGACAAAGTTTACCATAGCTGGGAGGTCTGAACTAGCATGGTGATCCCAGCTGGAATAGAAAAGTGGAAGTTCAGACACACCAGTATTCAAAGTTCAAGGTAGTAGATTTATATGGAATACTTTATCAAATATTTAAACATAATAACAAATTTCCAAAACAAAGAGGCCAACAGTAGAATTAAGAACAAATAAATATTTTTGATAATTTATATTAATATTCTAGTGATAGTTCTATTCATTATGGCTTACATATGCACTCATTGTTTTTTTTCTATTATCTTGGAGTTCATTTCCAATCATATAATGATGGTTTAAGTTTTATCTCTGCAGACTATGTGATGTAAATTTATAACCAAGGGACCCCAATCTGATGTTCACACCCCATCTGTTGGCAAAAATAAAAGGAAAGTCAGAAATTGAGGAAGTATATTTATATGTATAGTTAACTTGTAAACAATGAAAGAAAACACATTAATATAAAAAAAAGTTCACTCATTCACTTCTACTATCTAGAGTATATGGTTATCTAACCCTGCAGGTTACCACTTTTATCATAAAAACCACCAACGTCACTGCTGCATATGTGTATTGTATTGCTACGCTGATAACATATTTGGTTCAAATCAGCAATACACAACAGCTGTGGGTTAATGGCTGGATGTCATTATGGTGAGGCTTGCTGAGATAATGCATAGTCAAATAAAGTTGTCACAAATGATTCTGAAATGTTTCCAACAGCACTTTATCAAATCAAAGAAAATTGCTTTTAATGTGGTATGGGTGACATTTTTACTGTCCTACTTTTTTCTGGTGTCATTTATAAAATATCCCATACTGATGCCAAGAGACTGCTCTAATAATAAAATTACTTCATGCTGATTTAAAATTTCATTTGTAAATTAAGTGATCATTTATTTTAGTTATTTTCCACAATGAATTGGGTAATTAGGTAAGTTTCAAATTAAAAACACCAAAATAAAATGAAACCAGCACACACTGCAAAACTGCTGGGGACCCTAAAATATATTTGTAAAATTTGTAATATTTATTATCCAAAATCAATTTTAAAGTACGCTTTGGTTAATATACTTCTTTAGTTGTGTCACACCATGGTATAGAACATTATATTTACAACTAAAAAGTAATTACTCGAGGAAAAATACAATTATAAATCCAGGCTACCTATGGATATTACCCTACTGCAGGTTTCACTTACCTAAAAGCCCAAAACTCCTCCGAATTAACGCTGTAGTTAACATGTCTCCTTGAATATGTGTTACCTCTTACATTACCCAACCATACATCATATCCTGCATCTGCTAAAATAAAGGCTGAAAGAAATGCAATATGTTATACAATATGCTGCATTATACATACATATTAAAATCACTGAGTGACAGTACCGGTTTTCTCAATTCTCTAGTGCAATGTCTTATCAAAACAACTTGTGAGAAAAACAGCATGCTTTTATTAACTTTAAACTATAGTTGCAATTTTGAAAAAAAAAATACTGTTTCAGGAGGCTTATTCAAATTCGAATTAAAATCAGTATAATGGAGAATGATGACATTTGTCAATAACAAATTGATCATTTATTTATGTTCTTGATCACTATCTTTCTGTCGTACCTAGGCTTTCATTGGGCAAGTTAGTCAACCAGTTGGTGGATGTGCATAATAAACCGTGCTGCAGGAATGCAACAGGACGTGGGGTAGAGGAATTTTTCGACCCAAATGGAATGCGCTGTATTCCTAACAGATAGCCATCTCCCGTTTTTACAGTGTATTCTTCACAGGGATATCCCTTGGATGTTATAAGTTCTGACTGAAAATAAAAATTTAACCATATTGAAAGTTATACAATTTTCACATGAAAACAGCATGTCCACATTTAACCATGGCATTATCTAATATTCAATAAAATGCAAAATGTATGTTTGATAAATTATTATCCAAAGACTCGGAACTTATGAAATTCTGGAACTTATATGGTAAACTTCAAAGACTAACCGATATTGCTGTCTCACCCTGACGACCTTTCACTAGTTAATATTGTTGAATTTTACCAAGTACTGGTACTAATTTGATTGATATATATATAACTGATTCTGACTCTACTAGGTGACTAAAACATTTACTCAAAAATACTGAGCCACGAGTATAAAGCTCCGGTGTTATGATTGTGACACACTACCGGTACTCTGTACCCGTTTAACTCATAGACTCCAATTCAACATCCAAAAACTTACCGCATTCATATCGATTTCTGGATCCAAGTGCCTCCACCTGCGTATATTTATTTGTTTAGAAATGCCATTGTCATTTTTCAAACTAAGTCCTGCAGCTGGTTTATTTGACCAACTTAACAGTATCACCAGAAAAATTGATGTCGACGGTTTCAACATCACGGCAATTCTGGCAGTGTGGAGCAAGTTTGATTATGTCACATGACTATCAGCTGACCTATTGACCTACTTATTTCGTGTTGAAATATTTTAAATCTACAAAGAAATAAACAGAGGAGAATAACAACCCTGCCTTAGTTAAGCATGTTTCTCAACTTAGAATATAGGGATTGATGTCCTTGAGGAAAAATGAAAGTTTAGGTGTGGCATTATCACGCGCGAAACAAAGACCTTTGCTCCCATTTCTCATATTAAAGCCCCTAGACACTGCTCGTATCTATTTTGATAGAAACCATATTTTTGATCCAATAAAAAAGACAAATGATAAAATGTAACACCTCAAGGCAATATGGAAGGGAGCGATTTGCTTCTTTTGTTTCACTCTATCATTTCAAGGGCGCCGCCATTTTGTCAGTCTTCCTGACGATTTCTCATTAGAAAGGTACCCCCTCTACCGCACAATTGCTTTTCGGCATGTTCATTATGTTTTTTGTTACGATTCTGTGACTGCGATTCTCATATGGTTAATACGATGGGGCTTAATCAGCCTATCTGAGGCTGTATGAAGGAACGGTCGACGCAGTATGGATTTTGAAAGAGTGATCCTCAACTTGGATCAGCTTTATTTATTTGAAAATTAGGAGAAAGGGATTAAATCTAGCTGGAAAAGAAGGGTGTCCCTGAGAGGATTCCCCCTCAGACCCGAGGATTTTCCCATTATTTCAACCCGATTTTAGAGCACGGGTGGTGTTGTGAAAGCGAGTTTATAAACTTTAAGTGAACACATGTAAAGATCGGGATAACTATACCAGTCTTAGTGCAAAGAATTCGTTACAATGGCGAAGATTTTAGACAAAGACCCAGAGACTTACCGGAGGGAGTATTCCTGTTTTATCAAGGAGTTGCAGGAGTTTCACGTCAACCGCGGGTAAGCTCAACGATTCTATTTCTATTTTTATCGTAAGTTTGCCGATTTGGGAATCACTTTATTGTTCAGCTTAATTGAATTGCTTTCTTTATGACACAGGTCGCCGTTTTCAAAAATGCCGTATATTGGAGGGAAGGCAGTGGACCTTTATCTTTTATACAGCAAAGTCACTGCCATGGGAGGCTGGAATAAGGTACGCATGGACTGTCTTTTGAATTTACCTCCAAATTTACGCTTATTAATATCAGTTTACCTAATCGGTGAGATATATTTGATAGTAGTGGTGTAACCAGTGTAACATTGTAAAAAGGGGTCACTTTCAATTTGCATTCTGTAGTGTAGTGTTTGAGTTTTCAATTACTGTGAAAGATGGGGTAGCAGTTTGGGTTAGATAGTGATGTTGGAATACAGTGTGTACTACATTGGACAAAGGTATCACCAATAAAAGCAGCTGTGCAGTGTTTGTTTATGTTTAGGCGAAGTGTTACTCATCCCACATTGATGGGTATCTGTATTGCAACTGTTCAAGTGGACATGAAATGAAGGGGTCTCCTTGATAAAAAGTCCCATATCGCCAGTGCAAAGTCATATGTTTATTTCGTTATTTTCTTCATCAATTCACACATCTGGCTGCTCATTTAACAAGGGCACTTATTACAATTAATTAAAGTAAAAGTGTTAAGATGTGAAATATTTTTTGGATTTGGATTTATGTCAAAATAATACATTTTATGAATAGGTGAATGATGAATTTCGCTGGGAGGAGATTCAAGAACTGTTCCACATTCCCAAGTCTTGCAGCAATGCGTCTCAAGCACTGAAGCAAATTTATATCAGGTGAGTTTCAGTATTTTCAAGCTTAGTTATGATTTGTCAATGGTATATACAAAAAATTGAGAAGAATGAATGGTTATGTTATTTGAACAACCAAGTTGGAGGCAGTCTTGGTACATGATGTCTTAAAAAAGATAAATAGCAGTTTAGTAAGTTTATTTATCATGATGTAACAAGTTAAATTGATTTCATTGCTATCTGATAAGTTATTTGATATAAACATTTTAATTGATTATTTGATTAGAGACAATTTTCAACTAGAAGAGAAACATTGATAAAGTGTTAGGACGATTGGTTTAAAGTATGTGTATGTGGACATTTAGTAATAGCTACAGCAATTTATGCTATCATTATCTGCTGCCACTTATGTTTTATATAATTATGTCTTATGATCGGCTAAGATTAATCAACAGATAGTTACTTATCTCACAAGGAAAATGACAGATTTTTATTTGGAGAGTTCATTGGTAAATATTCTTATATTCATTGTGGTGTTTGTATAAATGCAAAAAGAATGGACAGATATGTTGAAATATATGGCATTATATATTATTGAAGTGCAATCTGTAGGACATAATTTTTTAGCATATTTATAATTGCTCTACAACTGGTCTTAAAATTCTTTGTAAGTGTTTGTGAAGGATGTATAGTGTTCATGACAACAAGGTTGGTCATCTCTTTTATGTAACATTGATACTGTTGATTATAAGGTATTTATTTCATTTGCACACTTCATTTTATACATCCAAAGATATTTCATGTGTAGGAGAAATAAGCTGTAAGGAATCTTATTTTTGTTTGGTCAGATAAGCTGGGATTTGATTTTGTCTAAGACTGGGTTCCCATGCCTAGATCGATCTAACAGGATCGATCCATCTCCAAGAAGTTTCTCATAAAATTGCTTTCAGCTTAAGCAGCTAAGATGTCCAGCATGCCAACTGAAGCTGCTAAAGGATAGTTACCTGCTAGCAGCTGAATTAGGCATGGCAGACAATTAAGCCGCTTAAGTTGATAGCAATTTAACGAAAATCCCCTCTGAGATAGATCGATCCACAGTTAGTACGATAGCGTCTGGGAATGGTCCCTTAGTTCCCAACTGTTAACTGGAATTGCTTTTGAACATGTAACCCTTTCTTTGAATTTCTGAATATGCCATCAGAAGTTGCTTGTATCAGAGAGCTTTTAGAACAACTCATTCTGAACAAAACATTCAATCAGACAGACTGCCTGCCTTGGTATAATTTATTTCATAGATAATGATGGATATATGTCTTTATACCAGGTAAGTTTTTGGTAGGATCATTGAAGTCTTTGTGGCTGGAAAGACAGTATTGTGCCTTGGTCAAATTGAAGCAGCGTTTTTGGAGTGTTTTCAAATGGCATCAAGCTGGGTAGTTTGCAGAGGAGAGTTTCAGGTAGACCCATTCTTGTTGCTATAAATAGAACTGGGATTTTCCCCCACATAATGTGAAAAGAGATTACAGGCTTGCAGCACAGTTACCATAAGGAAAAGCTGTTGGGCTTTGTCAAAGAGGGTTTTTACAATTTTGGAAGCCAGTGTTCTTTTAGTTTTTTGTAACGAGATACAATTACAAATCCTTTTTTTTCTGTGCAGTGTTCATGATTCATTATTATGCATTAGTTGTTTTTCCCCTTGTGACATTCTCATGAGCAAGTTCCACATTTTGTTGAAGTGACTCTGATTCAGTTTGTGGTATTTTTATTTTTCTATCATGGCTCTTCGCCATCAAGCATAAAGGTTTCTGCTCAACTTCTGTGTGCAGTACCTTAGAATACTTTGTGTGCCAGGAATTATTAGCTTATAGATATATTTGCTAATTCAAATGAACTGTAGTGAAGGGAGAGTCGTAATAGATGTGTATTGAAGATTGTATCGTTTTATGTGCTGCACGACTTCAGAGCTGCATCATGTTAAAGTACAAGATGACAGATTAATGTATTATTTTTTCCACAGTTAATTGATTTTACTCCACAGGATGGGATATATAGAGCGTGAGTTCATCATGGATTGATTCACAGAAAGCAACAAGCAAACATTTTCTTTTTATTAGGGTTTTTAGTTTTCATTATTCACAGAGGTTCTTCAGAATTAGAGACTGCAATTTGATAATCTTTCTAGATTTCCTGCGTATATTTCCTAGTTTTTTTTTTTGTTTTTTGTTTAGCTCCCATGCCAACATAGAAGTACAGGTTCTCTTTTAAGGGAAACTAATGTTATATTTGAAGTGCCTGATATATATTTTGCTTTCGCCTATATAGGAATGGAATTTTTTTTTACTTCACTTGCAATGTTAAAAAAGAGAAAGAATGACTAAATGATACTGTGCAGAAAGAAAGGGATAACTTTAAACTTTTTTCAGCAAAGAAAGAGATATCTGGTGAGACTATAAGTAAAGAGAGGTCACTGATACAAATACTACTAGGGGGAGCGGATGTGATTTTTGCAGACTTTTTGGACTGTTTGCCACATATTTTGCAGGGCACTGTTCATTGAAGATTTTCATCTGTTCTTTGATGTGATTTATATTAATACTGAGATAATTTAAGTATTCTAATATGCTTGTTGTGGATTTTAGCATCTTGTAGAATTTATTTGAATGGACGACTGCTTCTGACTGCATCAGCCATGGTCGAAGTCTAGGTGATAAAATTAATATTGTTAACAGTATGTAAAGGCTACAGTTAAGTCTTGTAGTCTTGTTATTTGGACATGGTGGTATTGGTAAGATGAATTTTTTGTAATAAGAAATGTTGCAAGTCAGAAGCATGAAATGCTATGTTGTTTTGTGATGTTATAAAATATTCAACTTATTAAGAATTGATGTGGATGGATGTAGGCATGGAACTTCATATATGTACAGTGTGTGTGTGTGTGTGTGTGTGTGTGTTGGCATAATGTCAGAATTTGTTATTTGTCAAAGTTTTGCTATTTATATTTCTATACATATAGTCATTGGGATGTACTGTGTACTTATAACTGTGGGAGATAGTATACTTGTTTCCATGAAAATGAGAAATAATTCAAATTATCAGGGTATTATCAGGGGCGGATCCAGAGTTATTTTTTGACAGTCTTCCAATTTATCTTTGTTGATCCGTCCTCCATTTTTGACCGTCTTCCGACAGAAAAAATTAGATACCCGTCAATGTAAACTTGAAAATCTGACCGTCTTCCGGAAGACCCAGAAGACGCCCTAAATCCGCCCCTGATTATTGTGATTTCCTAGTAATAACTTCCAGGTTTTGTTGTGATTTCCTGTATAACCAATGCATGTCTCCAGTAAGTCACATTAAGATTCTTTGCAACACTCACTGCCCAGAGATTTATTCCTGAGGTATATTTACCACATAATTTCATACTCATTTTTTTGTGAATTGTCTGAGTGAATTCATGCCAAATTTTAATGCAAACCAAGTTAGCCAGACATGGTATGTTGTGCTTTGAGAGGCTTGTTCTGTAGATTTTGGATTATTTGAAATTTAGTAATAAGCCCAATAAACCATTTATCGACATGCAGATTGTAATGTAGTCCAACTTAATTTAACTGCCTTTTCACCTGACACAGTGGTCTGTAAGGGCTCATTCCCAAAGACACTGTCAGTCTATGTAGATCAATCCAACTTCCTGGAGACACTCTCTGAAAGCAATCAGTTTAACTGATTAACATGTCCTCTTGTTCCCAACTTTCTTGTATAATCACCAGTTTTTCTGTTCTACTCAATGACAGGAGGAGGCATTTTAATCTGCCAAATGATTGCATCCAGCAAAGAGTCCCCACGGAGTTGGATCGATTTACGTAAACCGGGAGTTTCATTGACAATGAGCCCTAAGACACACAAGGAGTGCTTTTGATGTGATCTTGAATACAATGTCATTTGCATAAGAAAAAGTTCTTTTCAATATGTGATCTATTGCACGCTATAACAGATTTATGATATTTTTGCCAAGTGTCAATTTATGTTTATGTCCAGTCAGGCAAGCAAGCTTGGTTGTTGAATGTAGAAACTTGGATATAAATGGATCTTCTATATAGAACTTGTTGTGGAAAGATGTAACTGTAGTATAAATCTTATGTACCATTCATACAGTTTGTTGGAAGAAATTCCTATATATAAATTCTAATGAGTAATCCAGATGAAATAGGTGATAATGGATAGATATCAACAGCTGGATAACAAAGATTGACTGAATATAAATGAATTGAAATAGTTTTACAGCTCTCCACATGCCCATATAATACAATTAATTAATTAATACAAGTAACAGCTGATAATCATCACAAGCAGTGGTTTGAGTCAATGAATGCTTTATTATTTAATTTTTTTGTGTAAATGTTGTTTACTAATATTGCTGTATGCCATGTTGCATATACCTACTTGTGTACATGGCATACTAGTATAT